GGCCTAGTGGTAAAAAGCTGCATTGCAATCCCTAAGGCATGCAGTTCAAATCCACCAGGTGCTCTGTGGGAGAAGGATGGACAGTCTCCTCTTGTGAGATTAACTGCCTCAGAAAACCACTAGGTCAGCTATGTGTCCGTTCCAACTTGACGGCACACAACAACATACATGTATGTATATAAAAGCCTATCCACACATTCTACTTTGACAGGAAACTGTTTTAAATCACTTTCTGTCCCCTTAGTTTTTCACGACCCAGTGTTACTTAATGAGACACATATCAAATATGTGCTCATTAAATCATTTACATGTGTATTTCATTTAAAAGTATTTTTTGTATATACCTTTTACGTATAGAGAACTTGTCATAGTATATAATTTTATTAACGTGTTTTTCTTTTACATCATGTGTTATATATAGCAGAAATATACTGTTATACTTCTATAGCTATATATAATACCTCAAGGTCAGTTTAATATATTGTCTTTGTTACTACTGCTTTGAGCAAGAAAAAAAGCAGTTTTATGTCTATGAACTTTTTAGAAAAAAATCTAGTTTTACAAAAGCAATGATTGAGAGAAAATTGGTTTATTAGGATAAAGAGGCTTGTCCGAAAATAATTGGAATTTCCAGGAGTTGTCGAAGGTCAGAAAAATATCAATTGTGATTTTAGGAATAGAGATAGGTCATCCTTTTTAGTACCCTTTAATTCACAACAGTGTCCAGAAGTAAAAGTAACCTTATTGTTTATTTATTTATAACACAATATATGCTTTAACTGTTTGTGGCATATATTTTGGAAGCAGGAGTGGCATCCACTTCCTAAATAACATGCTTCCAGAAACTCTATGAACTTTGATAAGTGTCCATGGTTGTAGAGGGGCTTCAGGCCTTTTGTTCATGGGTTTGCTGTGAGTTATGCTCATGGCATATTCATATGTTTTATTCTTCACAGCATTTTTTTTAGAATGGAAGAAAGGCCTAATCTAGTCAGTCTTCAATTTCTTGTTAAAAGCAAAGCTTAATTATTTTTTTTATTCTATTGAGAATCTTCCTGAGGATAGACGTTCATATAGACACAATTTCCCCAACTAAAGCTTAGTATGTAAAATAGTTTTACTATAAATTCACCTAAAGAAAAATTTTAGTATTTTTCCTTGTGTTTTATTCCTCATAATTTCATCATTAAGATGTTCCTACCCTATCATTTTTCTCCTTTCGCAGTGCTCATCATTTAAGTGTTAGTGTAAGTTGCAGAAATGGTGTGTATTTTAATAAAATTGCTTCAGCCATCAAAAAAGAAAACATGGGCCCCAGTAGATGCTAGGAATCTGTGAGACTGATGAAAGGGTTGTTCATAACCAGTAAACTGTAAATAATAGCCAAAACTGGCCATTGTGTGAGGACAGTTCCCTGTAAAATCTTTACAGCCAAGGTTAATGAGACCAGTGGGAACTGGTTTTTAAAGGCATCTACTACAAGGAATACTTTTTATTTTCATTTTAGAAGATACAAATAGTAAAAAATAAAAACATCTTTAATTTTGGCTACTAAAGGTATTCATCCTCTTATTTAAATATTAAGATATTTTTAAGAGATTTTTATTATATGCCGTTTTATTCAGGGAACATGATTTGTGCTAGTAGACACAATTATAACTTGGTTTAGACATATAAATTAAAAAACCTAACAGAACTGGGCTTTAGGGTTTTTTTGTTGGGTTTGGTGTTTTTGGGGGTTTTTTTTTCACCTTTTATGTGGCTATTATTTTATATAAAGCAT